AAAAAATATTTAGAATATAATAGAATCAACCTTTATTATCTCACGAATGAGAAATTTGGGTGTTACACAGATCTAAAGGGAATATAAAATGTAGAAGGAAGAAACAATGCGGTCCTATATACATAAGCAACTGAAGTTCATATATGCACGTAACAATGCACAGAAATATGTATAAAAATTGTACAGAGATTAAAAAAAAAAAGTTCAACTGTGTTATAGAGTCTGACAGCTGCTGGTAAGAATGACCTGCAGTAGCACTCCTTCCTACACTGTGGGTGTAAAAGTCTACTGCTGAACGAGCTGCTCAGTGCTCATACAGGTTCATGCAGGGGATGGGAGGTATTGTCCATGATGGATCTTAGCTTAGACAACATCCTCTCCTCCCCAACCTGCTCGATGGACTTCAGCGGACAGTCCAGGACAGAGCTGGCCCTCTTGACCAATTTGTTAAGTTTCCCCCTGTCCCTCTCTGCCATTCCACCACTCCAGCAGACCACAGCATAAAAAATAGCAGATGCCACCACAGTGTCATAAAACTTCCTTAGCAGAGTCCTGTTCACCCCAAAAGATCTCAGCTGCCATCGCAGGTGGAGATGACTTAGACCAGGGGTCAGCAACCTTTAAAACCCAAAGAGCCATTTGGACCTGGTTTCCATGCAAAACTAACAACTAAGATGTGTTGTTTATGAAATCCATGAAGTGCTACAGAGAAAGTTACATTTTATTTATGTAATTAAGACATTTTGAACTCATAAAGAAATATAACAAAAGGAAAGACACCCAGCTGAACTAAAATGATCCATGTAGCAAACAAAAACTGTTGTGAGCCGCCACCCTTATATCGCCATTGAGCTTTTGGAGCCTTGACCTGGTTTTTAAAAAATAATTGGAAAAAAAGCACTATGCTGCTAAAAAAAAATCAAAAATAGATATTTGCAAAATTCTGCCTAAATATGTATTTTGCCAAGTTAAGGTGTGTGGAGGGGCGTTGTCTGCAGTGCCGCTGCAGAGGAGGTGGACGCACTTTAGCGGCACCCGCAATCACGCATCGCCACCTTAACGTCTGTGCTATCTATGCTGTTGTTGGTGTATGCCAGGCTGTGAGCTGAAAAGCTTCAGCCGGCTGTATGAGTCAGCAACCGTGTGTGAAAACCGGTCAGTAAAGAGATCCTGAAAAGCATGTTCATGCAAACATCGTCGGGTCTGCCGTGATATGTTTACAATGGGACTTCTGCTCTTGAACCTCTGCGCATATCCCATATGCGCACAGCGTCTGCAAATCAGGGCTGTACGAAGTCACTTTCATCTTTACCCAGGACTGTAAGCTGTCATCTGTGATGCGTGAGCGGTGTTTGTTTTTAACATAGTTCACGGTGGAGAACAGCTGCTGGCATAATGTGGATCCGAAGATCCATAATTGGCCTACCTGGGGTTGAAAGTCTCGATAAATGTATGGAGTTTCGAGGGTACACCGGCTTCTGCGAATGTGACGCTTATTTTGAGCGATGAAAAAATAATAAAATAGAATTAAATTTTTATATTTCAATATCACAATAATCTTACAATTTAGAACTAAAAGTAAAAAAAAAAAACTAACATAAATCAAATACACTAAATACTTCTAATTCATTTTCCCAAACCACGCGGAGCCGCACTATAAGGACTAAAGGTTGCCGACCCCTGACTTAGATCCTTTTTGTAGAGTGCATTTTTGTTTGTGGACCAGTCCAGTTTGTTACCAAGGTGACCACCCAGGTATTTGTACTCCCCTACTGTTTCAGTGTCCAAACCCTGGATGTTCACTGGTGTAACAGGGGGGGGGGCTTCTTGCTGAAATCAATCACCAGCTCCGTCTTGCTGGCATTGATGCGAAGATGGTTCTGTTCGCACTAGCTAAAAAAGTAAAAAGGTGCAAGTACTGTTCCTTGTGAGACCTCCATGCTACAGACTACCACCTCAGACACACAGTCCCTCAGCCTCACATACTGGGGTCAACTGGTAAGTAATCAACAATCGGGGGCGACCGTGGCTCAGGGGATTGGGAAGCTCATCTATAACCGGAAGGTTGCTGGTTAGATCCTCCTGCTCTCTCTGCCCTGGTCGTTGTGTCCTTGGGCAAGACACTTTACCCTACCTTCTACTGGTGCTAGCCAGAGGGGCCAGTGGTGCGATATAGCAGCCTCGCATCTGTCAGTCTGCCCCAGGGCAGCTGTGGCTACAACTGTAGCTTGCCTCCACCAGTGTGTGAATGTGAAAATGAATGAATAATGGAATTGTAAAGCACTTTGGGTGCCTAGAAAAGCGCTATATAAATGCATTCCATTATTATTGTTGTTATTATTATTATTATTATCCATGAGGGCAGCTGATGGTCCATTCCCGCTCCCTGCAGCTTCCCCCTTAGAACTGAGGGTTGGATGGTGTTGAAGGCACCGGAGAAATAAAAAAAACCCCATCATTCTCACAGTACACCTGGGACTCTCCAGATGAGAGAAGCAGCAGGTAGATGACAGCATCATGCA